CGTTCAATTTTTACATTTCACCAATCAACAACATCGAATTTCATAAAACAACTGATTAAATGCTGGCACCATAGCAAATAATCCTCCTCAGTAAGATTCCATACTAATAACACTCAATACAAAAACCATTTTTGATTGTTTTAGTATTTTCAAAATCCAACATTCACACAACATATCAGAATTTTTACATAAGACACATGAGAATGGGGAATTTATCTAAAGCCATGAATGGTAAATTTAAGTCTATATTGTCAAATATCAGCTCAGAACAACCACTGAATTATGCAAGATCTTCAACCTCAAGTCAAAGATATTTCAACTCATATTCAATTCAACTCAGACCAGGGTAAAACCAAAGCATTTACGATTTAAGACAGCAAATCCAATCTTCTGCAAGATACAACAAGAAATATCCACATCTAACCAAGATCCAAGCTATAACTCAAGATCAAAAGCAAAATTACATAACAAAAAAACACCAAACACATCAACTGAGCTAAAAATCTACTCACCGATTACGCAAAAGCAGTTATCGAAATAAATGAGACCGGACACTGATCAAAAGAAGCGCCGTCCCCGACACTGCTGCAGCTATCTAGATCTTCGCTATTCACGCCGAGCAATCCGCGTTAGGGCACATCTGTGAAGTTATCCAGCCTACGAAAAAAACTGAAATTAAAAACAGTAAAAGAAAAGAGTAACCACTTGAGAAAGCAAGGTGCTACACATACAATATAACAAAGTTGAGGATCTTAGAAATACGCTCCGGCAGCTGACGGCGGTGAACGGCGAGAGACCTGGTCGGAAAACGCCGATTGGTAAAGTATTTTTGGGCAAAATTTCTACTATTACTCCAACTAAACGGCGAACAGTAGTTTGCTGCCTTTAAAAATAATAAAAATATAAATATAAAAATAATTGGAAATATAAACACCATAAAATGAAAATAAAATGATAATTATGGAATAATAGAAAGCGCAGTTAGGAAGTAGGAGGCGTATTAATGCGCAGGATAACTTACGGTGCGCACCTATGCGTGCGATGCGCACTGTTTATGTGGGCCCATAATCTGGTAAATTATATTGTCGATTATAAATTATAATACATCTTAGAATGTGAACCATTGATATTACGAGAGTGTTTGATAAATAGTTGTTAATTGTTAATTGATAGGGTTTGTGAGTTTAATTAGTTGATAGTATTAGCTGATTGTAGAAAGATATTTGGTAAATTAATTGTTAGCGGATAGTTCATTACATGTAAAATGATTTTTTTAAAAAGCTTATCGAAAAGTTACTTTGAGCAGTTTTTTGAATTTTAGCATTTTGAAACAATACACTATTACAAAAAGCTAATTAATCAAACATTTATATTGAATGTTTAACCAAGTCAAACGTCTAATAGTGGTCAAATAAATAAAAATTGACTGATAAACTAACTATATTGTCTAACAAGGTCTATAACTCTATATTTATTTTGAACGGATTAAAGATTTGTTTTTAAATATTATACAACAAATAAAATTATAGTACATTAAAGATAACTTTTAAAAAATAAATATTTAATATATTAAAAATATTAATTATTCGATACATTAAAAATATATATGTATTAGTAGTTCACATTTCAATTTAGATTATGGTTCACAATATAATAATTGAATAAAATGCTACCGAGTATTTTCTGCCAAAAAAATCAATATAAAAATAAGTCTTTTGATTGATTTTGTTTTGAAATTATTATAATTAATTAGATAAAGAATTCCCTGCAAGTGGAACTAACTTAATAGTTAGTCAAATAATATATATATATATATATATATATATATATATATATATATATATAGTGTTGGAATTTATTTTTCAAACCCATACTTTAGAAAATTATATTTAATTTAGTATTAAAATTAGTTAGGTAATGGGAAATTATGCAGAGTAGGTAAGGTAAACATTATTATTTGTATAAAATTTTGCATCATTTTCGTAATATGATTAATCAATTCAAAGACCAATCAAATAAAAGGATAATGGTCAAGCACTTTGTGCTCAGATGACATGTAGTGACCTCTCCCATGTGAATGGTCATGAGATCGAGCCTTATTGGAGGCGTTGTTGACTCTTTATGTTTCATTAGGTTGAGAAAGTGTAATAAGTCACCCGAGTGAAGTTTGAGAACAATAACTCAGGATCAAGTCTTACCAGTAGCAAAGTAAAGGTAACGCTCTATTGGGTTAAGGATTCAATCTTTTGAGAACAGTAATATTCAAATTAAACAATATTACCTGCCCTATATGTTGAAAAGAAAAGTTTATGATACCATATATAATGGTATTGTATATATACTTTTGTACCTGATATGATTAAATATGTTTCGTATAATATAAATTGGTATATTTATTACTTATTTATTTCAATTTATTATTGTTGTTTTAAATTATGTTTGGTCAACTTATTTTAATTATTGTTAAATAAATCTCGTTTTCTGAATAAATAATACGTACTCTGTATAACTTATTTAGTAGGTGATTGCTATGTTATTATTACCTAAATTTCTAATACATATTGACAACCTAATAAGTATACAAATTATTCCTTTACAATGTTGTAAGCGACTGAAATCTTTCATCCAATGTATGAAGTGACTACAACCAATCAACCATCACTTGCCAACCATGGCATGGAGCAGCAGGAAGACATAATCATTGAACATAGTGTGACATCATTGGCATATAGTTGAAGATAGACATGTTTATCTTAAATATGGTCAAGATTTAGAATTGACAAAGGTGGTCATAGTTGTCTTTCAAATATGAGGTCTAAATAAAAATGTGACATAAATAAATTACTCCGTAATTAAAATAAAAAGATATATCTAAATTTGAACTTCATAAATACAAAGATTTAAGAGCACTCACAATTGTTGAACTCAATTTTAAATATTTTTTTTTGTCACATAACTACAATTATTGAATTCAAATTTACGTTTTTTTTTTTTTTTTGGTCAGTAAATGTGCCAAGCAAGTAACGTCTCCTTCAACAGCTATAGTGCCAGTCATACCCCTCGTGCTACCTGAATGGGGAACCGACCCTCGATAACCAGACCGACCCCCGCCTTGCCAACTAAGTGTTCTGGCGGGCTCGGGGAATGCTTGCTTTGTGACTCGGTTATTTCGACTTATATTGGGTTTGATTGCTTAAAGTGAAATGGTAAAACAAGTAGAAACTAGGAACATGTACTATACTTTTCGTAGCGATCCCAATGAACGGCGTCAATGATTGTTTTATTAGGACCAAGTTCACCATAAATTGGGTATAAGTGTATGAGGGGTGAGAAAGTAGTAATTTTACTATCCAGGACGTTAGGCGCAAAAGAGTGTGTACAATGTTTGAGATAACGTAGCGGCCCAAAGAATAATCAATAATAAATAAATAGTGGACTATGAATAATAATGTAGGCGCGAGGGGTTCAAACCCCTTTATTCTTATAGGAAGTTAGGACAAACGATCATCAAGCTAGGAGGATTATATTATAATGAACTAAAAGTTGATGTCTACATGACAGGCATGATGCACCTTATATAGTGTTAGAGATCTCTCTTAATAATAATGTCACAAGTGTTAGAAATTCATCCAGATGTTTGATAAGTGTACATGTGTTTCTCCACTACTTTGCTGCCAACGCTCTTCACCTAAATAAGTAGAGCATCTTGCCATTTGGTAGATAAGATTAGAGTAGCTTAGTGTGTTGGGGCTTGTGTTATCATGCTTGAGGTTGTGGATTTGAGTGGAGTCTTGTGGGTTATACCTCTTCTAATATTTTGCTCCTTTACCTTTTCCCCACATTTAAATCCAACAAGATCCCTCATTCAATATTCTTAGGCTCAGATATTCCCAATAAAATAATTTCCGATGTCCCATGGCCCCGTCAATGTGGATTGTTAGCTTAGTAGTATAGATTTTTTATTTTTTTTTTTGTAAACATAAATTTTATAAAAATTGTATACATTATTATTAAACAAAAAATTTAAATTCTTTCATCATTTTCTCTCTCTCTCTCTCTCTCTCTCTCTCTCTCTCTCTATATATATATATATATATATATATAATAGTTAAAGTTTCATTTTAAGAAATTGTGAAATATATTTTAAATTAATTTTTTATTATTATTATTTTTTCACGTTTACGCCCAACAAGACCCCTCATCCACTCTTTTTGGACCCAGACATTTTCAATAAAATGAGCCCGAAGTCCCTGGGCACTGTCAATGTAGATGTTAGCTTAGTATTATCATTTTTTTTTTAATATAAATTTTATAAAAATTGTGTACATTATTATTAAACATAAAAAATTAAATTCTCCGTTTTTTTTTTTTGTTGGTTTCTCTATATTTTTCAAATATGGTTGTTAAAATTTATCACTTTAAGAAATTGTGAAATATAATTTAAACTATATTATTATTTGTATTGTTTTTTTTTTTTTTTGAAAAATCATCAGAGCCGATTATTAGTATTGTTATTATTTAGTAATATTTTAATATTTGACATGAATTTTTCGCATTGCCTACAAAATGCTAGTGAGTTGCATAATTAGTAATATGTTGAATATCTAACCTTTTGGCATAATTACACTTTATTGTGGTTTAATCTGATATAATTTTATTTTTTTTCACTTAGAAGACTTCAAATGCACCACTCATCTCCACTTTAAAAATTTATTTAATTTGACATTTTCTCCATTTTTAAAAGCTTAGAACTTTTCAAAGTTATTAGTGGAATTTTAGTTGTATTTGCCCAATAAATTTAAGTTAGACTTTTTAAAATATTTGTTAATATCAATTTTGGAGTATCTATTAATACATTTTAATTTTTACACTCGTGATAAAAAGGTGGAATCATCCACCCCAAGCATCTTCACATCCTGACCCAACAATTTGTAGAGGATTTAATTATGTGATTAAATTAATTAACAGAGACTAGACTTTTGCTCACTATCCACAAGAAACCCCTCCTTTTAAGTGGATATTAAAAATTAAATGAAGGTTCATAAATATGAAATTGTGAATCCCCATAAAAGGGAAAAAATTTAAAACAAGGTGAAGAATAATACTCCGTAAATTATGCACGGTAAAACAGAATACGACGCCGTCTTGTCGCCAGGACGTGGCTCTGACTGTTAGTTTACACGTTCACGGCTTTGCAAAGGAACAATAGGGACGACGACGACGACGCCGGCGAGTCGCCGCCGTGTCTTCCGCCGCCTTCCCCGTCGGCGAGCAACACCCTCTCATAGTAATCCACACAAAACAGCGAGAGCGAGAGCTCCACCTCGTGGCGGCTCCAGACTCGCCGGGCCACGTCGTCGTCCGACGGCTTGCCGAGCAGCAGGCGGTTCATGAGCACGGGGCGGACGCACGCCATGTAGAGGCTCCGGTAGCCGCCGAGCGCGAGCACGACGGCCCTGACGGCGTCCGGCGGGCGCGGCACGTGGCGGAAGCAGAGGGTCTCCCACAGCGAGTCGTTCCGGGTGCAGGCGCGCCACAGGCTGCAGACGCACGCCGCCACGCCGAGCGACGGGCCGTCCAGCATCTTCAAGATCTCTATAAGCACATCCACATTGTCGTTAATACAAAACTTGCTCCTTTTGTCTCCTTCGTCTTCTTCCATTCCCGCTTCAAACCGCACCATTTTAACCGTGTCAAAGAGAAACTTGTACTGATCGCAGAGAGAGATGTATATATATATATATATATATCCAAGCAACCAACAATATAATGTATATATATATACACAGTGGTGCTTAGCTAGTGCCCCGTTTAACCTGTTCACATTTCAAATTAAAGAAGTTGATAACTTTACTTTACACTCCGCAATAAAAAAAACTTAGACAGCCTCATCAACCACTAAGTTAGCTTAGTTGATTGGGCCAATTATTCTAGAGTTCTACTCAAACCATAATATAGGTGTTTAAAGGATGAAGATCTTTTGTGCGTAAAGTACTATAGGCCGGGCTAGTAAAGAAGAGGCATGTGTACTATTCGTGGCTAGAGAATTATTGGATGGAGGTCGATACTCATGGCTGGGAGATTGTTGGATGGAGGCTGATAAAGTCCTTAAGGGTTAAATCCCGCACCCAATTTGTCTCGAACAATGTGATGACGGTCTATGGAACATTTTCTTTTCCGAGTGAAATCCCCTAGTATATGAAAGAGTGAAAAAGTACTTTCAGTCTTGTGGAATAAGAAGCCTTCGTAACTTAAAGCACGCATTGAATTTGTTCGGAGCTATGAGAGCGGAATCCACTTTTTGGAGAATATGAGTCGAAGCAATAACAAGAATATTTCTAGTAGAACATCTTACCTGGAGAGATGGTTCACTAATAGACCGAGGGATAAGTAATTCGACTACACACAATTATAAGTAAGAAAATAAGTTGGGTCTTGGCTACTAGCTATAATTGAAGATTGATTACTCACAATTTACCTCATTGAATTGGCTATTGGGACAGGGGTTCTATAAACTTATTAGTCTAACTTAAACTGAGAAATTTAATGTATAAAAAAAATATTAAAAAAACATATACACTGCCTAGACACATTTGGGACTTATTTTATTCACTAAAACTCTAGAATAAGGGCAATATCCTCCTCAAATTTAAGGTGTAATAAAGTTTTTTAATTTCAATAGTAACTAGCTAGCCTATTTAGAGTACAGTTCAATTGGTTAACCAATCGATAACTATAGAAATTAATTAATTGTTTGATTTTATAGACAATTATATTACTTTGAAGAATTTATAAATAATTAAGACGCATTTCACCAGCTTGAAAAGTTCTTGCGGCTAAAATACAATAATATCTTTTTCCCTGAATAGTAGCTAGCTAGTATGAATTATAATTTAATTGATTAAACAATCTAAACAAGTTTGCACATAACTTTATATTTTATACTAAAACTCAAAGCAAGGACGGTAAAATAGTCTCTTGAAATTAGATTGTAGTAATATATTTCTCTTCTTCAATGGTGGCTAGGCAGCTATAGTCTAGAGGCTATAGGTATATATAGTATACGTTGTGGTATATATAAGAAGCAGTAGGTGAGTTATTGTAGGAGGAGTTGGGGGGCCGGTATCAAGTTATGCGGAGAACAGGCCAAGGATAAAACTCCAACCCACAACATCATATCGTAGGCCTTTCAATTGTTTAATTTGTCGTCTGCTGTTTTTGTTGTTCCCATCATCCCATGCATTATATTACTCCGTATATTGTACTCATCATCACAGGGCTTCACCATATATACTGTTTTTATTTTAATATATATAGCTAGGCGTGGCTTAGCTAGAAAGTAAAATGTGAACGTTGGTTATGCACTTCCTAGCTGAGTAACTAGCTAGCTAGCTATTACCTGGGTATTCGGTAATTCACAATTTCACATCAATTATTCCTTGTGGGATCGGAGGGGAATATCTTGGGTACACAAAGATTGAAATTTTTAGATATGGATACCACTCTTATTAATTGGGTATTGGTTCAAGGTACTTGGCACAAAATGTGGTGTGAAACCTTGCTTTAGTATTTTAACTTACATGGCATGGCGTGCATTTGGTTGAGATGAAAGAATTGGATATGAAAATAATTGTAATTGGGTGAAAATAAAGTATGAATTCATTTTACATTATTTGAGGGGGAGAAATATAATTATTGAAAATAAGAAGAAAAGAAGTGATATAAATACTAAAGTCATTTTTGTAATAATAATAATAAACAAAGGGTACTTTTGTCAGGGCATCGAATTGCATGCAATTCATTTGGGGGGTGGTGGGGGGAGGGGATGCGCCCATGAATTGCAATTCAGCAAAATGAGAGAATTGCAGTTACCTCAAACAAAACACTATTGATGTGGTAAATACTCTCGGGTATACAGGTACTAATAAAAATTATTACATAGTAGCTCGGGTAATTAAGACTAAAGGTATCAGAGAGTCTCGAGCTAATAAATGTTATAGAGAGAAAGCTTAAACCCCCATTTTCTTAGCAATAAATGTGTTATTTATAGGAAAAAAACCCCCATTTTCTTATCAATAAATGTGTTATTTATAGGAAAAAATGAGAGAACACATGTCGTGGAGCTGGCATATATGGCATGCATGTCAGGTGTGGCGCATGCACTCGATCGACAATTTCGGAAGCAACGCAGGGGTGTCCATGTGCCATAAGATGCCTGTCTTGGCCTACGGATGGAGTGGTCGGTCCGGGCGCCACTCCTTGGATGCGCCTTTTAATTACGGAGTAATATCAGTCGATTGAGCTCAAGATGCATGTCCCGAGCTCTAAGGTCAAAACTGATATTAGGGTTCACCGTGTAAGATTATATATGCTGAATCATGGATTAGTATATCAGATCGGGTCGGGTTGAACTCGTATCATATCGGATCGAATAAGGTCGGGAATTGATCTTCGTAGCCTAGGAAGAGCAAACCGAGCACATATATGATGGGTCATCTAGGGTATATTTCCCATCAACTGTAATTTGCTTTACCATAGAATAACGTAGGAAATGAATTCCAACTACATCCAATCAAACACCCCATTAGGGAAGTAATAATTACAAGCTAAAATCATGCCATAAAAATCAATGTTAATTTGGGTTTTCAAACATAAAAGTTAAATGACATGGAGGTTAGGACGACTTTTATAAATTTATTATTGATATTGATGACTATGATACAATTGGCATGTTGAAATTATTGATAAAGATTCACTCAAAAGTTACTATTTCATATTAACATAATTCATATCATCATATACTTATATATGATATCCCATTAAATCATCATTAGGTTGGCCTATATGCCTTGAGAATGGATACTCAACATTGAAAAATGATTGATTTTTAGGTTAGTTTCAAACTTGTGATGTGATAATAATAATAATAATAATAATTTTTAAAGATGAATAATCTTGTATAGCAGTTGAAATTTTGTCTATTTTCAACCACTCAAAAAGTTATTAAAATATTTTAATTTTTGATCATTTTTAAGGTGATTGAAAATTATGACAACCTTAAAATATTTGATCGAATAGATATAACTCTGCACTAATCAATTTGAACTTATGATTGGTAATTAATAACAAGGAAAGATTCTTTAAATTTCTAAAGTGGTCAGACAGTTTATCATCAAGAAGATCATCCTTCTCTTGTGATATATATGTTATATGTAACTTGAAGCCCCCGCTCGCGCGTTTGATCTTAGAAATTTTTTTATCATAAATTTTAGAATTTATATCTTAAAATTTAAAGTTTTTCAACAAATAATAGTAGTGTGATGACATACTACCATGAAATATGCATACATGATAAGGTTATATAAATGATTATTTAGTGAAAAAACAGAAGAGAGAGAAGTTAATCAATAATGAGGTCCATATAATCAAAGCAAAATGAACCATGCAACAAACAAAAAAAGCTAATCAATTAAGATGTTTGGATTGAATTAACTTGGTAATTATAAAGTTTCAAGTTTGACTTTTTTTTTTTTTTTTTTTTTTTTTATGGGAATTGAAATGATCAGTTATTAACATTTTATTTTATTGTGGTCTTTTGAAATTTTGCAGAGTTACAAAACGGGTTTCACCTGTGCTGCAGGCTTTCTTGTAAATCAAAGCTAGGTTAGTTTGAATTGAAGATGCGTATACATATGATGGTCGGACGATCACGAGCTGAGGAAGGTGGTATATACAATATATATGTAACAACATGGTTGTCTGGATTGGGTTGGATTTTGGTGAGGAAAGGAAAACCCCAAGCCCCTATGAGACAGACAGCACCATATATTCCAATTTGCACTCAAGTGAAAATTTGACGTTAGATCTTCTCATAAGGCATATGTTGGGATGGCTAGCTGTTCTTTGATGATTTGTTTGTTTTGTACTGTATTGTGTTGGGACTTGTTTGTTGGACTCTTCTTAGGAAACATTGCCATCGAATCCTCCTTCTAGGAATTTGATAAAAGCAAGGTTACAAGGGGAAACCTCATCACCAAAAACATTCACACATTTTTTCTAGCTTCTTTCAATCCATCAAGCTAGCTAGCTAATAAGGCTGCACCCTAGTGTGTGTTGTGTGTGTACTTGGTTTTGTAAGATATGTGCCGTGAGCTAACAAGTCAAACTTGTTTTCAATCATTGTAGAATGGCATTGCCAAGACCTATGAGACATTTGAGGTGATTACAAGGAGGAATAGAGGTTTCGTGGTTGAGTTTAACATCTCTAACTACTAATATCGTAATGTTAAATTCAGGTTTGCTATATATATACATATATTGGATCCAGTGAGATTATGAGATTTGATCTTGAGCATTCACTTTTTTATTTTAACGGTTAAGATATCTAAATTGTTTTATTTGTTAATTGCTATCTGTAATATACTTAGGGGTAGTGGAGTAATTTTGCACACGCATTTATTTCTTTCCATATTAAAATCGTGATATTTTCTTTGTTTCCTTTTGCGTATGTTTTTCTTCAAAGCCGAGAGTCACAGCTGCTACGCCTTTCTTCTCGATTTTTCTTCTTCTTAAGAGTCAGAGCTGATACGCCTTTCTTCTCGAAAACATCGCATTCCAGTGGCTCGTTGATTATCCCACCACCGTCAATCCCTTCGCATCGGTGGTTGTAGTACCGAATTCTCCATAGCTGACTCGTTGTCGAGTTTAATCGCTATTGCTATAATTATCGTGAGGATAAATTCAGTTCTTCCTTTATATATATATATATATATATATATATATATATATATATATATATATAGTCATGTAGTTAGAGGGTGTTTTGGTTTCATATATTTGAATGTATTGTTGTTGATTGTTTTAATTATATTTGAAAATTCAATAATTGTATTTGCTTGACATTTTTTTTTTGTAGTAATTTTTTATGTTAATTAAATTTGTCAAATATGATATTAATCATCTAGGACTTTGTTTGGCCTTTTTTTTTTTTTTTTTACAGCGTTCTAACATAATAATTTTTTTGTGATAAGCATTTTAAATAGAGTTGATAGTTTTTGACATGACCCGTTAATATGATAGAAAAATAATAAGTTAATATTTAATCTTAATATATTGTAAGTCATCGGTTATATATTTGTCTTTGACTATTGTCACCATATTTGAAAATTCAACAATTGTATCTATTCACATTTATCTACTCCATATTATAATTTATATATTGTAGTAATTTTCAAATGTAACCACCATTATCAAGTTTGTCAAATGTTGTATTAATGACCTAGCACTTTGCTTGGTCACCTATTGACCGCATCCTAACTTTTTGACATAACATTATAAATAAACTTGATAATTTTAGACGTGACCTTCTAACATCATTTTCTTATCCTAAAAATTGTACAAAAAATTATTACGTATCATTTTGAATCGATGGAAATGCTCTAAGCTATAGAAAATGTTTTAAGTTTGGACTAAATATTGTAGAAACATTATTCTTATTGTAGTTGATACAAACTTAAAATTTTGCTTAAAGTTGTATGTACAATAGGTAATAGTACGTACCAAATTAATTAATACCTTAAAACTTTTCCATGACGGGTTAATGCTAAAAATTCTCCATATCTAAGTGCATACCCAATTAGGATTTTTGATGTGACTTTTAAGGAATCAAAGCTTATGTAGAGGAAAGAGGGAGATGAGAAAGAAGAAATGAGATGCATACCCAATTAGGATTTTTGATGTGACTTTTAAGGAATCAAAGCTTATGTAGAGGAAAGAGGGAGATGAGAAAGAAGAAATGAGATTCTTGCAGGGAAGAATGAGTTTTTGTCTCCATAGTGGGACCCACCAAGAAACAGAAAAAGGAAATGCACCTTGCGTAAGACGCAAATCTCGCGCCCAACCGAAAGCGTGGTGTCGTAAATTCTTACTTTAAAAAAAAAATTGTGATTTTATTTTATCAAATTTTGTATTTTTTTCTTCCCTCCCATCCCTTCTTTCCTAGTCACACCTGCAAAAACTCTTCAAAAACTACAACTATTGGAGATGCTATAAGAACAAGCCCATTAGTGGATCTTGGTTCAGTTTTTTAGGAAAGATGACTGAGGTGGAGGAGATAGTGTGAAGAAAGAAAAGATTTGAGATCTCAAGCTAATGACATGTTTTTTCACATAAAAGTGAGACCCACCAAAAAATAAAAGAAAATCGCCACCTTCCGCGTGCAAGGCAGTTGCGGAAGGAGAGGTGTCCAGTAATACACGCGTTCGTTGGGCGCGTTAAAAACAATATTTTATATTTTATTTTATTGTGACAATTATTTGTTTTTGTTTTTGTTTTTTTTTTCATCATTCTTCCAAAAGGCTGAACCCCAACCCCGGCCCGACAGAGCGGTGAGAGGTTGTAAATCATAGTGACTCAACTGAACATTAATCACAGAGGCTAGACCGGTGCTCACTACGCACAAGGAACCCCCCTCACTTTGAGAGGCACACTGCCGCTGGTGAGACTCGATCCCTGGTCATTCTTCCAAAGTTTCACCGCTGTGATCAGTTGAGCTACCCATGCAGGCATCATTGTTTCTCTCCTAGTTGTCTCCTAACAATTACGCTAAAAACTTAATGGATTGCTCTATAAGAAATTAACATCTTTTAACTGTAAAGTACTTTGAATTTGAGATATGTCAATCTTTCTTCAAAAGATATGTTTTCTAGATCAATATGTACTGGTCTTGTACTGGAAAAACGAAAGCATCCATTTGTCAAAACAATTGAATATTTTATGAATAGCTTAGTTTGAAGGTTATCCGTTTTGGATAATGAATTGTTCAAAAAGTCCAATGTTCCGACCTTTAACGCTAATTTTCATGAAACCGCAAAGTCGCCATTACCGATTCTCGAGCCTCCGCGTTTTAAAAAACTCCGTCTGCTCATTTGCTCATAATCATCTAGAACAATTCAACAACAAAGCATCATCTCAGTTCTGTTAAATACCAGTAATCAAGAAGAAATTGAAGGAATCGGGGGAAATGGACGAGCTTTCGAGCGATGTGATCATCAAAACGCTATCGGTGCTGCCGATCAAGCCGCTTGTACGGTGCAGATTCGTCTGCAAATCCTGGCTAAACCTCACGCATGACCCGCATCTGATCGATACCCATCTCTCATTTTCCTCTGAAAACGAGACCCATTTCGGTCTCATCCTCAAAACCTCCGTCCCAATTGGCCGGACCCTCTCCCGGAGCAGCTTGTTCTTGGTGGCAAACGACGGAGCTGATGATCTCTTCAAGTGTGTGAACGTTAGCTTCTCTTTGCCCTCTTTCCGCACTTATGAAATTATGGGTTCTTGTAATGGATTGCTATGTTTGTTTAATCCACTTTCTAAGCATTTGACTCATATATTTAATCCTTGCACTAGAGAGTATATGGTTTTGCCCAGCCCCCAAAGGGCTCCAGAGTTTATTGTTGATATAATAGTAGGGTTTGGGTTCTTGGAAGAACAAAAGGAATATAAATTGGTAGAAGTGGTTTACTATGGGAGTGAATTAGTTGGTGAAGGTGTTTTGTGGTCTAAGGTTAATTTGTATAGTCTGGGTGATAAGTCCTGGAAAAGTCTTGGCTATTGCCCTTATTCACTTTGTGGTAGGGGGTGCTCTGAGGCCTTTGTGAATGGAGCTCTTCATTGGGTTAGTTCTGGTTATGATGATGATGGTGGAGGGCTAGTTAGTCAGATTGTTGCCTTTGATTTAGCGAGGGAATCGTTTGAGGTTGTGCCGAGCCCCGAGTTTGATTCGGGGAGGTTGAACTATAGTTTGGGCGTGTTACGGGGGTGTCTTTCGGCCACAAAGTGCAAGTTCCGGGATTACGTTGAGATTTGGGTGATGAAGAGTTATGGGGTGAAGGAATCGTGGACCAAGTGTTTGAAAATTGTTTGTGATGAGGTAGGGCTGATCATTGGAGCTGTCAGGCCGCTGTTCTTTCAGAAAAACGGCGAGATTTTGCTTCTGCACGGTGGCGTTTTGCTCTCTTATGATCCTTTGAGTAAGAAATTAAGAGAGGTTCGTGTTTCTGGAATGCCCAGGTCTTTTAAGGCGTTTGTTCATGTTGGAAGCCTTGTTTCGCCTTGCTCACTGGTTGGAAAGTGATTCGAGAGTATTTATCTTTGTTGCCTGGCTTTAAACACGTTTTTTCTGCACACGAAACCGAGCTAGCTATATCTGAAAAGGTGTTGGATTCAAGGATTTTGCTTACATCGATTGGGGAGCGAAATTTGGGGTGACCAAAGACGGTCAAAAACTCGAGGTATAAATCGACTTTCCAAATCCTTATGTGCCTGCATACATTTCATTTACTTATGATGAGGCCTCCAGCTGCATTTTACGTGTTGATTTCGATTGTGTATCCCGAGTGTTGATTAGAGGCTGGGGGTTTCCGAAATAAAGTGTAACTCACATTCCTCAGTAATTAGGCCTTCTAGTTATATGATTGTGTAAATAACCAATATGCAGATTCCATTAATACATTATGGTGGCATTGCATTTCAAGCTTTGTAACATCTTTTTCCTTTATATCCCCTGCAAAAAAAGGTGAAAAGAGGTCGGTTTTTGCTGTCGATTGGAGATACAAATCAAATGAGATGGTATGATTAGTATCATTTTGCGGGATGTGAATACCAGTTGTATCTCTAATCTCTCTTGTTAGGCCGAGATGTGGGGGCCTTGGGAGCGAACAGATTTCACTCCTATCCAGTGGTTTGGATCTTGAGTAATGGCCCGAGGATTCACGAGAACCCTTGTTTTGACAACCAATTTCACATCCATTGATTTATGTGAAATGTAGACTTGAGAAATGTAGTGAAGCTCCCCAAGAACAGGATAAGCAAATGCTGCTTAGATTCTATGTAACCTTATAGATACATATTTTGAAAACCTGGAAAGAGTGCTTGGCAACTTGTTCCTAGTTTAGTACTTCATATTCTTCTTCCACAATTGATATACCCTGCACCACGGTGCACGTAGCACTGTGCATCCCGCGCCTCCCAAAACAACGTCGTTTTGATAAGTTGTGTGAGGAGTCGATGCGACATAGTATATGTGTATTATGTTATATAATTATGTACATTATGTTATACAATTATGTACGTTATTTTATACAATTATGTACATTCGAACACGCGATTTTTTTAACAGTTAGAAATTTATGTACATTCTCATATACAATTATGTACATTTTAGTATACAATTATGTATATTTTCAAAATATAATTTTTTTTAACAAGCAAACACGAAAAATGAAATTTTAAAAAAAGAATAAAAAAGTGTAAAATCATATCGTTTTGCACCAAGACGCATAATGCAATGTGCACGATATAAATTGCCCTTCTTCCACCCTTATTGTTAAATGGGCTGCTTCACATAGTTTTTCATGGGCCTCATTCCTGTCACTCAGCCCAACAAGATTGGGCTAGGTCTATATCCAGTTGTTATATTATAGACCGCGGTGCATAATCGATTATGCACCGCGGCCCATATACGGCGTCGTTTCTTTAAATAAAGAAACGGCCCGCCGTTAGAGTTAACGGAGTCCGTTTGTTTGGTGTATTAAACACCAACTGACACTACAGTATATCCAAACCGACACTGCAGTTATATCAAAATGATACTGTAGTTATAGTGAAATGAAACTGCAGCGTATATAAACTGAAACTGAATAACATTTCACATATTTGAGTGTATATTATACAATGAAGCTGTAATTATATCAAAATGATCATGTAGTTGTGTTTTAATAAAACTATAGTGTATATAAAATAAAATTAAATAACATTTTCACATATTTGAGTCTATAAATATCGAATGAAATTATAGTTATATCGAAATGAAACTGTAGTTGTGTTCAACTGAAACTGCAGTGTATACAAAATGACACTGAATAACAGAGTTACTTTTTGTAAAAGGGTACGAAACGGCGGAAATAAACACTGTTAATTTTTATTTTAAAAAAAAACGCGCGGTGCATAATCGATTATGCACCGCGGTGCATAATATAATTTGCCGTCTATATCAAGATTATTTATGTTTGTTATGGAAAGTCCATTCCATTCCTTGTATTCATAATCCTTGTGGCCATTTTTATTGGTAGGAACATCTGAAGGAGTGAAAATTTAACTTATGAGGAGCATTGCTTCAAATAATAAAATTGGAATAAAAATCAGAAAAAAAAAAAGAATATTTTAAAAATCTTCTGTTAAGCATGAATGCCTATTATCGAATCCTACCGAGGACTAAAAAATGGAGGTAAGAATTTGATTTTGTTGTGAATATTATTGTACAAGCTTTTAGGGGTTGTAGGCTAGTCGAGGATTTGGGGTACATCTCGTAACTTACATATATTAATTATTACCTATTCAAATTCTTATAATCCTTTCTTCTTCTTTAAAAAGGTTGAATTCCCAACTTTAAGCGCCCCCAATACTGTGACCTGACAGAGCATTTGGGATGATGTAAATAAGGTGATTCAATTACTCAGCAGACATGATCAAATGTCGGTGTGTACAAGGGATCTGTCCACTTTGAGCATAATCCCCATATTTCCACCATCAAAGTTTGAATTTTAGTACCTTCTTCTAAATACTGTTTTCTGAACCATTGAATTAAGCTTGTAAGCGCAAATTCTTACCATCCCTTACTCTCATTCTTCCCATAACTTACTACTGTCTATAAAAGGAAATAACTCCAAGAAAAGGAGGATTTTCTGCCTAAGACCACAATTACAATTACAATATCAAGATTTTCCCTCCTTACCTTTTAGTTTCATTGTCAATACACTACAAAACTCCATATCCAATGCAACATGTAAAAACCTACATTTAACTCATCAAAAAACTGGATGTAAAAGCTTCTCTAAATCATTCTTTCATTGTCATTTTCAAATAATTCTTGTTGAGTCAACATAATTAACACCAACATTTCTATTTCAAATTGCATTGCAGAAACATTAACTTTTTGACAATACCAAAATGGTATTAATTTGCTGATAGAAAAAGAAAGGGCAGAACCAACCCCCCCCCCCCCCCCCCTCCCCAGCCAGCAAAGAATACAGATATGGAAGAGGTGAAGATACAAGTGGTCAGTTTCTATTTTGTCTCAAAGACCCAACACTGTAAACCAGGAAAGAAGTGGGTCCCAGATAAATACACACACCATATATATATATATATATATATATAGAGGGTGGGAAGGAGTAGCACTGCATATCTACAAATAGTAGGTCTCACCTGGCTTCTCATCAAGTCAAAACTCTGCAGTCTGAACAGATATTTGTCCTTTCTTTCTTTTTCTTTTTATGCGATTATTCACTTCATATATATATATATATATATATATATATATATATATATATATATATATATATATATATATATATATATAGTGTATCTTTCCATTTAAGAGTAGGGCCCCGCCCGTCGCCCAGTGTCAGAAGTATGTGCATGCAGCAGCTATCATCTCTTCACTGTACTGCACTATCTTGGGATGTTTCAAGGGGGCGTTTGGTTGACACGTTTTTGGTATGGGATTCCCAATTCCATTCTCCATTTTGTTTCCCTCATAGCAGAATATATTACAAGTTTCCCTCTATTTCTAAACACAAATTTTATATATAATATCATACGTTTTGTAAAATTATACCTTGTATAAGATTTACGTATTAGTTTTGTTGCATGATACTATTTAGTATGGAATTTATAATCTCATTCTCATGTTTGTTTATCTATCCAAAGTATAAAATATTTTGCTCAAACAGGTTTTTAACCACTCTTACAACTGAATTTTATTCAATACTCCACTGATATTAGAACTTATGACCATCTAATTGGAAGAGACACAAAAACGTCATTGAGACACCGTGTACACAAGATCAACTTCGTTCCTGTATAAAAGACTGTCAGTCACATAAGAGATGTAATCCATACTAAAAAGATATGTGTGACGGAAAATCATCAACAAGAATTGAAATCATAATATTTTAATATGATAATTTTTCTCAACCTGCTTAGTCACATCTTTTGGAGCATTATAGACTTATAGTTGATGTAAATGGTGAGTTGCAGTTTATTTATTGCCAACCTTTAACTAACTCCAGAAGATTGGATCAAGTAGTGTTTTATCTTAAATCTTAAATTAATATAATTTAATAAATTGTTGCAAGGCAAATAAGTATGAAATTGAATTATTAAAATTTTTAAACTTCAAACAAATTGTTGAAGTTAAAAATTTTATATTTTCACACCAATTAGCCTAAAAACTATAATAAATAATTATATTAAATTATATGTTTAGTAATGAGTATTGTTGAATGTAATAAATAATTATAGACTTAATTTTATTTTTGGTTTTAGATTTATAGGTCGCAATTTACTCTTTTTTTTTTTTTAGAACATCCTCATTTAGTTCTAGTGTAATTGTAGAATGATCATTTTTAGTCCGCACAACAAAATTGCTGAAAAGTCATTGAATATAAGGATTTTGATCTTGTTTTATACAAAGTGGGTTGACCCATTATAAATTTGTTTTCATTTTCTTTTAAATTCATAATTAAAAACTTAAATGTCCTAGTATTTTACAGAATTTAAACAGTTTTGTTTTTTTCTTTATAAGTAAGTTCAGATGTTCTTTATTTTTTAAGTGCATTATTTTTTCTTCTTCGAGTTCATAGTTTCTGTTTGAGTTCATAAGATATTTTTTCTTCTTCGAGTTCATAATTTCTGTTTGAGTTCATAAGAGTGAATTGAGTGGTTAAATCAAAGCAAAATATTTTCTTACCTTCAATTCATCTAAGTGTTAACTATGGATTTTCTATTTGGGTAATTTTGAAAATTTTGTTTTCTTCTTTCTTTTGACAATGGTATTTGGACAAGAAGAGGAAGGAGGAGGGAAAATTGCATTTTCTTTGATCCTTTAGTTATACATTTATACATGTGGTACAAATTTATTCTCTGAGTTATATGCGTGATTATCTTTTACCCATAAGTTATGTATGAAGTGACGATTTTAGTACCTTGGAGATTATTCCTACTACCAATATGCCACTTGATAAAGTGGTTGATTTGATCCTTCACGGATTAAAATTGCCACTCCATGCATAACTTAAGAGTTAAAGATGGTCAAACATATATAACTCAAGCACTAAGTCTGTACCATAAATATAACTGGAGAACAAAAAATGCAATTTTTCCTAATAATAACACAACTACTACGAGTGCATAACTTTGAACCTTAATGTGCATAACTTTAAACTTTATGGTGCATAACTTAAAACCTTGAGATGCATAACTTTAAACCTAACTATAGATGCATAACTTTTGACCGTCATGTACATTACTTAAAACCTTCAGGTTCATAACTTTGAAGAACATTCAGATGCACAACTTTTAAACTTAAGGTGCATTATTTAATATATTCAAGTGCATATTTTTCCTTCTTAGAGTGCATATATTTGTCTCTTCAAGTGCATAGTTTCTATTCGAGTACCTATTTACTCTATAAGCTTCTCAAATAATATTTATGGTGCATATTTCTAATTTGAACCTACGGCTTACATATGCTTAACTTTAATTTAAGTCTTTAGGTGCATAATTTTAAACCTTATAGTGTATAAGTTTAAACATTATGGTGCATTAAAAACACAAACAATTCAAACTTGAATTTTAGCTCCAATGCTTATTTCTTAATATTGCCATTTACCAAATAATATTACATTGATATGCTAAAGAAAAAGTGGGAAGATTTTATTGATAAAACTCGAGGCAGAAAGAAGGCTACTGTGAAATGGGTTTCCCATCTCCACTATGATACCAGTAGAAAAAACCTCTTAAACATCTCAAACTACAATATTGTTCATAATTGCAACCATGAGATCAACCTGTATCAAATCAGATTGAAGAAATATACAACCCAACATGTCTAAATAAGGGCTAAGCAAACTCAACTCGTCAAATCAAACATATTTTTATAAATCTAAATGTGAATACTTACTCCCAGTTTAGGGTTAGAACCGACTCGATTAAATTAATCTGAAATCGAGCAGACTAACCCAATTGACATCCTACACTTGTGACTACATTATAAAGACTTTGAGGCAATATAACCCAAGCCATCTTACTTTTACTGTTTATATATCATCAATTTATAAAAAGACTAAAATAGCATTGCAGCATCTGGTTTGTATATACAATGTGAGAACAGAAAAGGGAAGAAAAGTGAGGGGAAAAGTGTCAGAAGAGTGTACTTGGGAGCAATGGGACAGGGGAGACAAGAAAGATTTTATAAGTAAAGGAAGGGTGGCCGGGGTGGGGGGTGGGGTGGGGTGGGGGGTTTAGCATGCATGCATTAATGCCATGGTATATAATATGTATGTATAGTCTTGTTTTAACATTCCAATCTATCTATCAAGTTGAAATGAAGCATCATATCGGAAGAGACACATACATACTACACCACTTTTGAGCAGTGAAAAGACGTAAGCATGCTATCAGAAGTTAATGGCCCCTCCCCGGCCTCTATGCCTCTATCATCTTTTTGTTGTATTATTATTTATTATTACCGCCTTCTTTTCTTGTTTCATTTACGAGGATAACCTTTTAGCAGCGTTTGCTTCACCCATTGCATGCTTTTTTAGATTATGCAGTCTTGGGTTTTGCACCCATAACTATTCAACATTCTTCTTTCCAAACTTCGCCGAGTTCTACTACATATACTTCCAAATTCTACTCTCTTATTTTTACTTCATGACATGATAAATAAAGATTGACTATTTTCATTATTTAGATCCCAGAGATTTGGGAGTACATGTAGTATTTTCCAACTTCGCCCATGTCACCAACTCAAATGTCCATACGTGTACTATTCAACATTATTAATTTAGACTTAGTGGATGTTTGGTAAATAGCTATTAGCAGATTTGGTTAGTGGGGTTGACTATTTTATAGTTTTAACTGAATGTAGAAAGACAATTGGTAAAATTGGTTATTATCTGATAATTACATGTAAAATGAATTTTTCAAAAAACTGATCGAAAAAATTATTTTGAACAGTTTTTTGAATTTTTATGTTTTGGAGAAATTAACTATTACAAAAAGCTAATTATCAAACACTTATATTGGATATTTAACCAAGTCAAACAATCAATAGTGATCAACTAAGTTAAAATTAACTGATAAACTAACTATATAACCAAACATGACCTTACTAATCCGCCCAACAAAAATTTCGTTAGGGTTAGAAGGAAAAAATCCAAAGGTAAAAGCAGGCTAAGAGTTTTATTACAAAGTACTAGCTTATCAATGTGTTTGTAACAAATTGTATATTGAGTGTAAAAAATTTGCTATTTGTATATGGGGATAAATTGTCCTTTAGTTTCGGCCATTATATATAGGAGTGAAGGTGGGGGGAATGACACGAGACTTGTTTATAGCTAGCTAGCTTGTTAGATGGAATTTAGATCAAATTATTTATGATTTAAATTTGCATAATGTTTTAAGAGTTCACCTGCCTTTAATTTTCACCTCAAAAAGAGCATATGGCATATTAAATGTGCATGCTATGGGAGATTATGTAAACCAAATGTTACTTTAGTAGGATGAATATTATATAATAAAATATATGACATTATATTGGACTAGCTCACTTCATTATATTACTCAAAAAGAAAGAGATGGGCGCTAAAAAAACTGAACCCATACCCGGGCATGAGCACGGTGATTTCCACTTGCTCTACTTGAGTCGTACCACTAACGAGTATACTAAAGAATTTGTAGTTATTAATTACAATTTAAACCATAAGTACTCATAAATTAACTAAAAATGTTGGGAAGAGCTAAAATTAAATCCTGAAATGGATAATATATTCAATTCGCCTTGACTTGATTGCCTTGATCTCTCAACTCACTTTTTTTTTTTTTTTTTATATTATTGAATAACAAAGGGTAAGTATAGTTACCATCGAGAGTATGTAATTATGCTCGGACTAAACCCTGTAATAACTAGTATACCACACTAAGCTAGGAAAACCAATTTGATAGATCAAACTACTGAAAAGTGTTAGGTGACAAGAATCAAATTTGTGACCTTAATTAACTCATCTTTGTTTTATTATAAATATGAAACTAATTAGTTAATTAATTAAGCCAGACATTGTGGTCAAGTGATACTAAATTATCCCCCATATATAAGGTTGTGGGTTTGAACCCTTCAGTAGATTTAGAAAACAATTATGAACAGATACTGTATTGTATCAGAGCTTAATTAAGCTTATTCCGCATCATCAGAAATAATTGACCAAACAGCAGTAAACACATTAATAAGCTAAGCTTACATATGATTGCAGAATTTCAGGCTGTTTTGACATATGGATAGATAACTGCATGCAATGCAATAACAATAATAATAATAGTAATGATAACAATAATGATAAAATGAAATGAAATGAAGGTGGTCCATGAAAATAAAAGAAATATCCAAATGCTTCTAGGCAGCCTGCTACTTTCTATGCCCCCATTAAAACAGGAGAAGAAATAGTAAAGAGAAAAGAGTGCCAAATAGGAGCGCCCAAAAGACAAAATGTTGCGCCAAACTGCAAAATGACAGATGGAGCTGAGATTCCTAGGGTTTTGGACTCCGATTCTGCATGCAATGCAATGCAAACACTATACATGAAAACGAAAGCTCAGTGTTTGGTCTCCCACAATTGGTAAAACATAAAGCCCCCTTCCCCACCCATTTCATCTCTTTTGCAACCCTCATTTCTTGATTTCTTTTTACTACCTCCAAACACGGCCCTACCACCTTTCCCACATCCTCTTGATTTTTTATTTTTTTTTAGCGGAAACCGAGGATTATGTTTTAGCGGCCGCCGAAGTCCCACAAATGAATCGTGGCGTCGCTGGAACACGCCGCCACGTGCCGCTCGTCGGCGACCATGGCGTTGACGTCTAAGTTTCTCTCCCTCAAGCTGCGCAGGTAAACGCCGTCACCTCGCTCGATCTCCCAAACCCTAACCCTAGACGCGGCGAACATAATCGCGAACCCGCCGTTCATGCACCCCATAACGCCGCCGCCCTGGGCCGCGGCGCCGCCCACGTTGAACCAGCAGCGCTGCTCCAGGTCCTCCGCGCGGCGCACGCTCGCCGCGCCGCGGTTGTCCATGATCAGGAACGAGTCGCCGCGCGCGTCGAACGCGCCCACCGTCAGCCCGTACTGGAACTGGTCTTCTTGCCCGATGATGACGCCGTGGTTTTGCAGGTCGAAGACGATGAGGCGCATGCCGGTGCACGCCACCGCCGTTTCCAGCCCCGTCACCCTCACTCGCCCGACCAACTCGGTTAACTCAGTGAGTAGGTGCCATCCCATTACCGCTTCTGGATCGGTCAGAGTTCCGCCCACGAAAGCAAGCTCTTCTGTTTCGCTGTTCCATATGTGAAATGCCCTCTCTGGAACACCTGAAAAATGCAGCAATTAAATAAAATTAATGTTACCTTATAATTAATTTCATAAAATTTTAAAATTGACCCCAAAAATTAAGAAAAAGGATTATAAGAATTAATTAAAGTACCTGCATAGAGCCCAACCCACCAACGCTCACTACCGGTGAAGTCAACCAAAGCGCCGTCGTTGACCACGTCCCCAAGATTCGCCCGGCGCGGCGGCGCGGCATCTCCGATCACAACCACATGAATATCGCCGTCAAGGGACGCGAACACGAGCTGGGCGTCGGTCAAAATGATCCCCGACACCGCGCTGGAGTACCGGCCGAGGCGGTCGCGGTGGTGCGGGCGGAACGTGGAGAGGTGAAGCCTAGTCGGGATGTAAAACAACCGCACCGTCCCGTCGGAAAACCCCGCCGCGAGGTGGTGATCGGACAGCGCGAGACGGCGGCACGACAGCCCGTCGTTATTGTCATCACTCGGCGGCGCGAAGTGGAGCGTGCGATAAACGTACCTCCCCCGACGAAAGTTGTTCGCCGTCTGATGCCAGAACATGAACTCATCCCTCCACGTGTTGCGGAGGAGGCGGCGGCGGTCCCAAATCCTCGCCGTCAAGTTCAGCCACAGCAGATCGGAGCGCGACACCGCTCGCCAGGTTGAACAAACCTGCACGATATCATAATCCCACCATTAACTCCCCATTTTGAAACTCAAATCTTAAAACTTTCTTAAAAAAACAATAAATTTAACATTGTTCGAACAAACCCATTATTTTTCTATTAGCCACCATGCAATAACATTAACTCCTGGAAAAATCTTACTTGATTATTATACAAAACTATGGACTGCAATCTCTCCATATGGACCTGACGTACCAAACCACAGTTTATCAAACCCTAAAAGGCTAAAACCATTAATGCAATGACAGTTTTGGGGAGACCAAAGCAAATAAATTCGAGCTGTCCTAGAGAGAGAGAGAGAGCATAGACTGTGTAGGTAGGTAGGTACAACCCTGCATGCATGGGTACAACAACGTCCTTTTCTTCTTCTTCTTCTCCTTCATTATCATCATATATATGTATATATAGATCCTACCATACTATACTATGTAAAACTGCAGGTGATCCAAATTAAACACTGACATTTTCCCTTCTGTAATGTTTGAACTCATGATAAGCTGCGTCCAAGTACATACAATCCCCCATACGCGTGCACCAATAACACTGTACCATACTAGCTGCCGTGTGTACTACTACCCTCAACCATTTCATACATCTATCTCTAGTCCACATCCATCTCCGATCCCATAAGATTTATTTAAAAAATGAGATCATAGCAACAAAGAAATTTTTAGACCATTTAATTTATGAGAAAATATGTACCCACTATAGGAAGGTGGAATCAGGAAGAAACTGTCTTGTAACATTAGTCAACAAAGTACCATAAAGAGATAATCTAGCCTAAGTTGTCTATAGCTAACTATCTTAAAATGAGAATGCTATTAGATCGCTTACACTAACAAAAATCTTTAATTTTCAGACATTAAAGCGGTAAAAATTATGCTTTTCCATAAATAAAAAAAAAATAAAAATCTTACGTTTCTATTATTTTCCAGTAACCAAAAATTCCATACTCATATCTCTATTAAAAAAAACCCTAAATTTCCGATTTCCAATGACTCAAAATTCCTAATTTTTCAGCAATGTAACATGCACAATGTGATGGAAAATGACCTTTTAATCACTAATTATCAACCACCTAAAAATAGGTCAAAAAGTGGTTCATAATAGTAAAAAGTCTTTTTTTTCCCAAATTCTCAAAGTAGTTAGAAATTATGATTTACACTCGAAATATTAAGTTTCTAATTCGTATTTTCCAGTCACTGAAAATTCCTTATTCGTATTTCTGAACAGAACCCTAAATATCCGATTCCTATGATTAAAAATTCCTAATTTTTCAACAGTGTGACATTCACAAATAATTTTTTTTAAAAAAAAAATTACTAGAAAATCACTAATTATCAACTACCCTTTCCTACCATGCAAAAGTAGGTCAAAAGGTGATCGATAATAATAATTTTTTTTAAAAAAGTTTTAACCGCTTTCAACTAATTAAAAACTCCCTAATGTCGAATAGTGTGACATGCACAAGCACATGAAATAATTAAAATAATGGTCTGATACGATGATGAGATATAATAGTAGAATGTTGTTTAGCAAGTGCAAATATGATAATATCCATGCAGGCAGAAAGAATGCATGGATTCATATATCCATCATCGCATGCAGCAACGTGGGTTGGTTGTAAAGGGAAGCTGGAAAAGAAGATAAAGAGATGAAGTGTGGGAAAAAGTAGGGAGGAGTATATTCTTTTGATCAAAGATTTAAGTACTCCAAGATATAGGGAAGGGACAAAATAATCTCAGTTTTTTAGGAGATTGGAAGATTTCTCACTTGGGAAAAAGGGGGTGAAAACTGTAAAGACAAATTATAATATTATACTACTCCCATCTGCGATCTGTGTTTCCTATGCTACTCTCATCTGCATGCATGAAACTCTAATCTCTTTTACAATTCTTTTAAGTCCTCTTGCAATATAAGAATTCATAAATTCATTAGTGTCTCGATTACTGTAAATATCAATAATATTATTAGATATAATCTCTCCTTGAGGGTTTTTTTGGTGTACCCAGAATTTCCACCATATCAGACACAGACTAATCTCCTCGTTGAATTGTAAGCGTATTTTTTTGAGTGGGATAGCTGACTTGGATATTTAAAGCAATCCCTTAGCTGAATTGTAAACACTTTTTTTTTAGTACGACAGCTGACCTGTAGATTTAAGGCTGCTTCATACCCAAAGTCAAGGATCGAAATCTTGACCTTTAGTTAAAGATGGATTAGTCCATTTCACCCAACCGCACACTTTTAGGTCACAACTATGGGTTTTTCTATAAATCAAAGAAACTATCGTTCTTAACTAAGATAGGCAAAAATACGACCCATCGTAAGCCAAAAAAGTGATTGAAAATCGATGAATTTTTTACCACTTTCATTAACTGTCTGATCAATTTTTTTAATACAATTAAGTATCTTGATAAATTATATTATATACTATTGACACCAGTAAAAATTAATATAAAAATGATATTTTATGTATGTAACTATAAGATGGAAGAGGAAGAAGGTGAGGGAAGTGAGACAAAAGTGGTTGTGGTCCACAGAGATAGTGCATGGCATTGGGCATCTGTAGAATCTGCAAATCTAGTAGTCGCAGGAGTAGACTACTACACTGCAAACCCATCTGGTCGACACAGAAGCACCAACGTAAACAAAACATCGGATTGCAACGTTTTGATTGTTTGTTTTATTTTATTAAAATTTCAAAAAACAAAAAAAAAATGTTTTTGTTTTATCGAATGGATCGAGAAGAGATTACTACATCTCCCATTCTTTCATTTCCAAGAAAAGGTGGCCAAATTAAAGGCCTGTCTCCTTTTAAAGCTTGCAGCAGCGAATCTTCACTCTTTCTTTCTTTCTTTCTTTCTTTCTTTCTTTCTCTCTCAACTTGGCTTAGCTATTTGGTTTGACCCTCTATCTCACCTCTTTCTTTCCATTCCATCAACTCCTAATATTACTGTGCATGCCACCATCTGCCTGCCTGCTTCCTCTAGGGTACATGTACTCGATCTCAACATTTCAATTTTTTTTCTTCTTTTTTGGTTTTGACCAAACTAACTTCCCAAATTTTCTTTCTTAATGGAGACTAGAATGGTTCCCAAAATGAGTAGTGACAAAATGTGGTTAGAAATCTACCTTTTTTAGTATAATATTCTTAATCAAGGATAAAAGTTTCAAGGGTTTTAAAAGTTTTATTTTGGGTTACCATAAGTTGCCCAATAATGTTTTTTTTATTAATAAATTTAATGTTGGGTTTTCTTACTTAGTGGAGGGTAGAATGGTTCCTTAATAAGTAGTGAAAAGGGATATTAAAAGTTTAGCTTTTTTAGTGTAATATTTTCATTGAGGGGCGAATTAAAATTTTTCGAGCTACCACGGGTTCCCCAATAATGTTTTTTTTTTTTTTTTTCAACCAATCAATATAGATTTTTCCCTAATAAGTAGTGACAAAGGGCAACAAGGTTAGAAATATTTTTGTTATTTTTATTTTTGTATAAGTATGTTTCAACAATCATAAAAATTAAACAAAAATATTGTTTTTTTTTTTTCAACTTTTCAAACTAAGACTAGTTGCCCAACAAGTTTTTTATAAGGATGACACTAATGAAAATTTCGGGTTTTCTATCTATCATTTATTACCACCTTAAATGTGAACAAAAATTTAAGATTTTTTTCAACTTTTGGGGAGTTGCCATGCCTAAGCTTATTCTTGCTGAGCTACAAAAACCAATATGAAACAACATGCATGTATGATTTTGGGGGTTGTCATGCCTAAAAACCTAGTTAACAGCTAAACCTAACTTGGTTTCATTGGTTAAGGATAATCCTAACAGTGGTTAACATACAGAGATTAGATTCTATTACATTAATTACATGCCATCATCCATGCATGCATGCATGCATACATACATGTATATGTATAGTCACTGCAAATTAAAGAAGGGCGCAGCATTGTTTCATCAAGATCGAAGGGAAGGAGGGAACAAGTCAAAAATTAGCATTAAGGAGAATCTTAAGCAAAGGTGTTTAAAGATCTTGAGTGGTACTATAGCACCTCAAAAGAGTGATGTCTTTACTGTCTTTTCGCCGCAAACTTAAGTTCCCACCTACCAATACAAAGTTGTACCCATAATTGCCCATTGGACAATACTTAAACTCTTGACCATCCCATGTATCAAGGTTGTTCTTTTATATTGTTTTCTCACCAAACACAAAGTTTCGTTACCCAGTTAGTCAGGCTGTTGACTCGGTAACTACAAGTTACAAGTCTGATTCTCAGCCAGAATAACCTTCTTGATTTGAGCTGGTCAGCTACGATTACTATGAACATTCTAGGTTGTTGACTCGGTAACTACAAGTTACAAGTCTGATTCTCAGCCAGATACCAGAATGACTTTCTTGATTTGAACTGATCAGCTATGACTACTATGAACATCCTAGGTTGTTTTACATTCATACCCGGTTAGAGTCATAAGGTAGAGTTTACCCAGTGGTTATCGTGGTCGGGAGGGGGTGGTGGGGTGGTTTCCCAGTTCCCAAATCTCTAACTAATTACACATTCTGTTAGCCATAAAAAAGGAGGCCTCAGCAGTCCCTTTCAGCCATGTTTGGAGTAAATATATCATCAGATGAGAAGGTGAAAAAGGAGAATCCTATCCCAATGGTGTAGAACAGATGGGAAGAGTTAAAAAAGTGCAGTTGGGGAAGCTAGATAGGGATTGGATTCATGTTCACTCATTCTAGGGCTGTTTTGAGAGGGAGAGGGAGAAATGGCAAAAATCAAAAAACCCCTTTTTGGTCTTGAGATCCATCCTCATACCAAAAAAATGTGAGAAGAATAAAAGGTGCCCACTGCACATTTCCTTCTACAGCCATAATATATGTGAAGAAGAATTGCAGTAATCATTTATGAGAAGCCCTGCCCTGATCATATATCAAAAAGTACATACTGCCCACCTAGCCCCTTCCTCCAAAATCATTAATGTTCAATTCCTTTTTTTCTAATACACAGTACTAAACCCAACCAGGGTTTGAAGGGTTTTAGGTTTCTTGGTTAGTTTTAAAGGTTAGAGGTAGCAAAGTTTAAGGTCATAAGTTTTGGTTACATGCTGATTTGGTCAAAGATATGCACTCATCAGAATCATTAGTTGTATGATCTCTCTAGTCTTTATACCAATTATGGTCTTAAGTATACCCATCATTCTTCTCCATTTCTCAAGGCAAAAACCACAAAACAATTATTCCCATAACCACAATGACACTCTTCTTCATACAACCCCAGTCAAATTAGTTTGATTTAGTAACAACAAGACTACAAGTTAAACTTCCTATCGACCTTCTCGGTTTAACTATCAGTAACTTAGATTGATTTACTTTTTAGTGGTCATTTACCAATTATGGTAACAAAGTTGCGAGTTTCCCTCCTCATTCCAAAAAACACACACACATACTCTTTCATACCTTAAAAAACATGATCCAAACACCATCCCACACATACGATAATAACAAACATGTGTACTTTACAGTTGTATGTAATGTGTATATATATATGTACCTGGAAGAGGCTGGCGAGTGCCGGAGCAGCAGCTAAGCGGCCATTGTTGGAAGCAGCGTCAATGGCGACTTGGCAGGCGAGGGCCTCCACGAAGGGCTCCGGCCAGACGCCGTTTCCGCCGCGGCGGCGGCTGCGGGAGGAGGAGGACGTGGCCGCTTCAAAACCCACGCCGCCAGCGCTTCCCTCCCTGCCTTCCACTGGCTCGGGGGACGAAGAAGAATTGGTGGAAGAAGAAGAAGAAGACATATTTTTGGTATACGTAAACAATTATAGGATTGAGGATCGAATGGAAGAATAGTGTGAAAGGGGGGGAGGGGTGTTTGCTGAAGTCACAGGTTAAACAAACAAACAAGCAATTAAAAATGGTTGGATAGAGAGGTACTGGTGGAGAGATAGAGACACAGAAAAAGCCCCAAAGCTAATTTTTTTTAGTGTTTCAAGATACTAAGCAGTTGTAGTAGTAGTAGTTATATATACATATACATACATATATCGTCGTAATTAAAGGTGATGACAACGGATACATCCTTTCATATATATATATATATATATATATATATATATATTTCATATATATATATATATATATATATATATATATATATATATATATATATATATATATATAGAGGGAAAGAGAATATAGGATATGAGTTGATGTGGTTGGTTTAAAAGTTATGGATAATACTATACATATTTTATGGCTAATGACTTTGTGGTCGGGTGACACGAAGTAACTCTCTTAAACGGGATTGAAGGTCATGACACTCATGGGTTCGATTCACTATATTGTAACATAGTCAATAGTACTAAAATATATATATTTTATGAGGGGTAATACAACGTCACTGGTATTAATTGATATGGTTAGTATTGTTTGGCCAACTTTCATGTAATTCTTTGTTTAATAGTTTTATTCTTTCTCCTCATCACCTAACAAAAATTATATGATTTTCATGACTTGGTGTGTTAAAATAATCTCATTTATAATATATCAATATCTCTCTCTTTTTTTTTTCTTTTTTTTTTTTGTGCGCAAATTATCACGGGTCTTAAGTACTAGCTAAGTAGGTAGGATCAGTATATATAATCATTGTTGACATTATAATTGTCCCCATTATAGAAAGTAGAGTTCTATTTATAAGTAGTAGCATTTTACTTTCTATATTTTAATATAATGATCTTAAATAACATCTAACTTAACTCGTTTAGTTGTTTTTTTCACTCCAGTTCTGGTAAAAAGGATATATAATTTTGAAAGAAATTACAATATTATCGATTATAATATCAAAGATTATACTTTATATTTTGTAAAAGTATATTCTCCTCTCTTAATACCTCCCATAAAATATACTTATTCTGTCTTATTTTATCGTCAAGTTTACTATTTATTAGTCAAACAAGCTCTTTATTTTTAACGCTAAGTACATTGTAGTCCAATGGCACCAAGTTATTCCCTCATAGGAAAGGTTGTGGATTTTAGCCTCTCATTTGGTTGAGAAAGTAATTATGAACAGATATTACATTATAATGAAGTCAGTATTACTCAAAAAAAAAAATCATTCTTAACTTATTTTAAAATTTAATTCTTTGCATTTAATAAGTCATCTAAATATATAAATTTTATGTACTAATAATAAATTTATTTAATTCTTTGCATTTAATAATACATCTAAATATATAAATTTTATGTACTAATACTAATTAAATTTATTTAATTCTTTGCATTTAATAATACATCTAAATATATAAATTTTATGTACTAATACTAAATTTAATATTATAAAAAATTAAATTATAAATAATTTAATAATACATCTAAATATATAAATTTTATGTACTAATACTAAATTTATTTAATTCTTTGCATTTAATAATACATCTAAATATATAAATTGCATGTACTAATACTAAATTTAATATTATAAAAAATTAAATTATGAATAACTTCAATCAAATTTCGTTAAACGATCAAACACAAAATTAAAAAAACTAAGTACCATTATAAAAAATTTTGAGCTGGCTTGCGCAGGTAGCTCAAGTGGTCTTCAAGTCAATGTCAAATTGCTTCGAGTGACAGGGCTATGTATAATTTGACGAGTATGAAAAAGCTAAGTTATCAAAATAAAAAATTAAAGCTTACAAATAATATAATATATTTATCAATTACCATGTAGTGTGATGGTATCTCAGTTATCCATATAAGTGGATGGCCAAAGGTTCGAACCCTGGTTCTTAGATATGGCAAATTATTGTGTGGATCATAACAAAAAGTACATTTTTAATATATTAAATGTACAATATTTTGTACTGAATGTACATTATACAATATAATGTACACTCAGAACAAAAATAATATACATCCCTTGAATACAATGTACATTATTTTACATTAAACAAAATGTGTTCCACACAACTTGTATGGACCATGGTCCACACAATAATGATTGCTTAGATACTACTTTGTAAAAAATAATAAGTATTTTAATAATATAATCTATCCCTAAAAAGAAGGGTTATGGGCTTTCCCGCCTGAGGGAGGATGAGCGGCTACGACGGCGGAGCACGGCGGTGATTGTTTTATAATTCATTCACACGCCATCAGTTGGCTTCAATATATATGGATTCTCTGGATTTGTACTTTGGACTCTATTTATAGATTTTGTAGTTATTTGAGTTGTTGACATGTTAGGAATCCTGTGGGCCACAACCGCAAATTATGTCATGGAATCGTGTTCACCGAGAGTGGTGAACACAAGGCAAAACGACGTCGTTTTTAGATCAAAAAAAAAAAATTTCGCGGATGTGGAGTTAACGGCGCGCGTTTGATCAAATTATGAATTTTCTGTTATGAGATTATGAATTTTATGAAAATTCATAATCTCATAACAGAAAATTCATAATCGCATAACAGAAAATTCATAATCTCACAACTGAAAATTCATAATCTCATAACAGAAAATTCATAATCTCATGGTTCCAAAGTGAATGTGTAGGCATGGTTCCAAAGTGAATGTGCAGGCATAGATTCATAATTTATGAATGTCCGTGATTTCGGACGAGAATATGTAGGCATGGTTCCAAAGTGAATGTGCGGGCATGAATTCATAATTTATGAATGTCCGAAATTATGAATGTAATGAAAATTCATAATCTCATAACAGAAAATTCATAATCGCATAACAGAAAATTCATAATCTCATAACTGAAAATTCATAATCTCATAACAGAAAATTCATAATCTTATAACAGAAAATTCATAATCTCATGGTTCCAAAGTGAATGTGTAGGCATGGTTCCAAAGTGAATGTGCATGCATGGATTCATAATTTATGAATGTCCGTGATTTCGGACGGGAATGTGTAGGCATGGTTCCAAAGTGAATGGGCATGCATGAATTCATAATTTATGAATGTTCAAAATCTTTGTTCACCTCAAATTAAAGTGAAACCGCAAAATGTGAAAATAAAGAAGAAAAGTCACGCAATTAATTAAAAAAAAAAAAGATAACAGTGTACTAACACCGTTAGAACCGTGTTCACCATGAATGGTGAATGCGGTTCCATGGCATAACGTCCCGTACAGCCACAACTGGGTGGGTTCCTATTTGCAATTGCCCGGCTGGTCTTTCTTTTCAAAGATGATGCAATTTCGAGTAAAATAATGTTCCCTAACAATTTTGGTTTTGTAACTATTGGTTTGGTTTCAATTCTTCAACATTTCTTGCCTATTATGGTATCATTCTTCTTTCCCTCTTTCAATTCTCAAATGTGCCATTAAAAAACCCACTTTCGATCAATTCTATAATATTATGATGTTCTTATCATCATTTCAAATAATATTCGTGCGTTAGTACTAATTATTAACGAAATATTGATTACTCGATTGATTCAATAAGTCTGGTCCAATAATATTGACTAATCTGATCCGTGATAGTAGTGACTTAAACTTTATATTCAAGTCTATTGATCATCTGTAACAGAGACAACACTAAACGTCACTAATGCTCACGTATGGAGTTGTCATCGTAACACAATAAGTGTAACATCGCCTTAGAGTTGTTGCATGGTAATTGTGTCGAGTCGGATGCAAAAAATTCTAACAGAATCTTTGTATAAACAAATCTTCATTTTGTACCCAGATTTGATTGCTTACCCTTGAATTGTTATTTGCTACTTTAGCTAGCTCTGTGTGTTTTCTCTAAGTATTACAATGGCTTACCTAATGGATCATTAGTAACGAAAAATCAATCATGGTAATAAGATGTGATGGACTTATTGAAAACACATGAACTTGATACTATGTACTACATTAAATTTGTGATGGGTCATTCAATGTCTAGAATTTGATTCTGTTAGCTACAATCAACTCAAGCCGCCATTCCAGTTTTAGGCCATTTCTTGCTTTACTGTCAAATCCCTTTTACATGTAGCTTGATCCAAAAAGTAACTAATGACAAGATTAAGGTTGGCTTATGAACTAGAACATAATTCAAACCTAACCAGTTTAATTAAAAACCAATGGTTACCATTTTTCTTGATAAGAATCAAACCTTCTTTAGGCCAAATATAATGCTGGGAGTGCGAACCCATGTGTATGTAACAATGTCTTTGAGAGAGTTACTCTGGAATGAGAGTCAACCGAAACTTGACTATATTAGTTTCATCTAGCGAGAAACATAGTTTATTAATTTTGTTAATATCTGAATCCCGAATTCTCATTATCCCATGCACTCTTCTGCATCCTGTTTGATGAATGAACAGTCCACATTTCAGCTTTCTCCAATATGGGAATTATGCATTTTGGATAAATGAAATGGTCCTACTCTGATCTGTGAAGAGAATCCATCAATCCAACATGTTCCACCCCATCATTCACCACCAAATGAGACGCAAAGAGCTCAACAGACACACGGTTAGCTTTGCAAAGTTGTGAAACAGAAACTAAACTTTTGTGTAGCTGTGGAGCGTGCAGGACATTTTCTAGACTAAGGGCAGAAGAAGGGGTGGGAATTGTGGCATGACCAATGTGAGATATGTGTAAAGAGTTACCGTCACCCAAGCGTATTTGGTCCGGACCATTGTACTCGGAGAATGACCGCAAAGGAGCAGTAGTAGGAGTGATATTGGCAGTAGCCAGCACGGTTTGGCGTGCTCGGTCATCGGCTTGTAACTGACGTTCATGATCAATGAGAACATCGGCTAGTTCCGCTAAGCAAATAGGCTTCTGTCGGACGCAAACAGCGGAGAAGATTGAATGATATTCATCCCCGAGCTGCGTTAGAATGTACACGACAAGGTCTTCATCAGAGACCGGGGACTGCGCCAACGCGAGTGCATCAGCGATGGATCACATGTCATTCAAAAATACAGAAATCGACCGAGTACCTCTCGGATTTTGAGTGAGCTCGATTTTGAGGGAAAGTATACGAGCTCGGCTTTGAGACGCACTAGCGTAAGTAGTGGCTAGGCGTTGCCAAGCATCATAGGCTGTCGAAGCCGAAGACGCGAGAGGTCGAATCGAGTCAGAACAACTCTCTAAGAGTGCACTGACGATGACTTGGTCTTGACGGACCCAATGTAAATAATCTGGGTTTGTGGCTGTTTGAGCCGAACCAGAAAACTTAGGCGGTTCTTGGACAGAACCATCAACATAGCCATGGAGGTTGAGGCCAATGAGTGTAGAGTGAACCTGGCGCCTCCAGACTGGGAAATTCGTAGGTGTGAGTTTGATAGAGAAGTGTGTAGTAGCGTGAAGCTGGACGACTTCAGTGGTGGCCGGAGTAGTTTGGGTGGTGGACGCCATTGAATAGGCAGGAAGCAAGGGAAAAAAAAAATTCTTTCGTAGGAGATTTTAGGCTCTGGATACCATGTAAGGAAATGAACTAATATATATTGATGAAGAAGCTAACAAGTATAAATAGTATATACAGGAGAACAAGTAGCTAAGAAGTTGTAACCACTACTCTAATATACCTATTCTAAAGGAATATAATTTGAATAAGTATAAACAGAAAACATCAACCACATATATTCTTAACACAATGATGCCTCAAAGACACAACAGATCCAAGGGTCCCACCTTCCCAATCAGTAGTATTCGAACCCGCACACTATAGTTCTTAGCGAAGTAGGCTATCAACCTTACTTTAAATCCGCCAACCAACTGAAGTGTGTCACAAAGACACCAATGATGCCTCAAAGACACAACAGATCCAAGGGTCCCACACTCCCACCTTCCCGATCAATAGTTTCCAAACCAGCACACTATAGTTCTTAGCGAAACAGGCTATCAACCTTACTTTAAATCAGTCAACCAACTGAAGTGTGCCACACAGACACCAATGATGCCCCAAAGACACAACAGATCCAAGGGTCCCACCCTCCTGATCAGTAGTATTCGAACCCGCAAACTATAGTTCTTAGCGAAGCAGGCTATCAACCATACTTTAAATCAGTTAACTAACCGTGATCAAGGAAGTATTATGTGAGTAACAAGCTAATAGTTGTATGACTAGCATGCTAGATCATCCCTAATATCCAATAACTAAATGTAATGCAGCAATGTGAAAATTTTGCATGCAAGAATTTACAGGAGAATATATATATACTATCAACTTCAAACTTTCAAAGGTTATATTAGAAATGTTATAATATACTAGTGAAATTGGCTTTAAGGATATACATATAATACAACAGGTTGCAATATAATGTCACATATCAAACAATCATATATATATATATGATGAGCAAAAATTGGAATTTCCCATCCATTGAGCATTATTTGCCTTAACTACTGATCCAACACCATTCATTTGTTCACCTTTTTAAGGATTTGAAGAGCACCAGAGAAACATATTTGGATCGAAACCTGTGGGTTGAACTTAGTGCCACCATGGACTGTCCAGCGTGGCCTTTCTGGAAATAAAGATGGTTCAGAACTGCAGGCAATGGCTTCTGCTGCGTCTCCACACTATCCCGGGATAAAGATATCCGGTTTAGTGGCGTTTGTTGCAGGAGAGGAGGCAAATCAGGTAGCTTTTCGTTAAAATCGCCAGAACTAAAAGGTGCAGAATTGTAGCTTGATGCAGGGGAAGGTGGCGATTCGGGCAAACACATGTTGTTTACAACAACCTCAGGAACAACATCCTGTGAATTGAAGTTACATTAATCAATCACCATAAAACTTCTCTACTAAACTATGGTCATATTCCAACTTCCTATGCCATACATTTACAAGTTTTATGCATGTAACTAAAAGGGCAAAAAGGTGAACATCCAAAGAAAAAGTACACCTTCTGGTGCATGTTGTTCAATTAGGTTATAATGCACTTATGCACATGGGCCAAATTCTGTTAAAAGACTGAGAATTCAATCAATTTCTCATCAAGTGAACAATCTGGTCATTATTAAATCTAATTAGTTGATCACTTGCAATTGGATCCCTCAAACAAAAGCTTTAGACAAACGAGTTGTTATACCATGGACCAGGGTCCACCTTGCAAGGTGGACCCTGGTCCTAAACAATGTATAAATTGTGTATTTTTAGTATTAGAATTGTGAAGTTCTAGAATATAAATTGTGTTTCTAAATCAAAACACAAGGAATTTTGTGAATACAATACAGGGTCATCAATTACATATATGTTAACATTATGTGTTCGCAATATATAAATTGTGAACATATGGACCAGGTCCATAGAATTATTTGCCACAGATAACTGGGTGAACTAAAAATGGACTGAACAAACTTGAATTAAACTAACTAATTGATTTGATTAAATTTTTTAGTATGGTTAAGCCCATAATTGAAGGACATTGGCCCATTCTTAGAGTATAAGAGTAAGAAAAAGAGGTCCACAAGAAGGCAATACCTTCAAGTCCAACACATTGAAGACACGCCCCATATGATCACGGTCGTGTGGGAAATCTGGAGCATACCTCCATTCCCCATCAACAATGAATCTGAAATGGTAAATCCCAGATGGCAACATCTTCATCACAGTGAAATCCTTGTCTGTTCTTTGCAAGTAGTCTCTGGTTAGTTGGAGCATTTCATTTGTTAGATAAATTAGGCCATAAACCAAAGCCTTGACAAAGGACTAATGGACAACTTATAACCAACAAGAAGAGGCAAAGAGCTAAGGACAAAACACAAAAACTGATCTTACCTTGTTTGCCAGTCATCCCATGATCCCTCAACAGCAACCTCATTTCCACCCTGCCTCCATGTGATCATTGTCGGTATCCCATTCCCTAAACCCATTCCCATCTCTCCATACTCTTCTGCTGTGTTTTCATTGCTTTGGTTCTGTATCATTTCATCAGGACCTCATAAACATATATATCATTTCCACACAAATTAGAATGTGTACTAGTTTGCCTTTCATATGATCAGCAAGAACATTAAGAAATTATAAATTGTTTTCCTTTTCCATATATAAGATGATTAGTTTCACTTGGAAAATGATGTTTTTACAAATCAGGTATGTATTCAAGGCTTCAACTTTCTGCCAGCTTTTACTGCATTCATTGGTCCCCATCCAAGTTATGGGAGCCAAAAAAGTCCAAACTCTCTTCTTGTGTCTTCCTTCAGAGCACCAAAACACACCATCAACCCCACACAACACATGTACAATGTGGGAAAATATCATATCATATTCATCTCTTGGTAGCTACTCTTACCAGCCTACCATTTCTTTTTTTTTTTGGGAGAAATAAAAGATTATAAAAAGAAAAACTGGGGACAACCTCAGCTAAGTTGGTCAAGTTGTTAGTTTCACCCCAGTTGGAACGGCCTATAAAGCTTTTAGCTTGGTAACTACTACAAGGTTACAAATTTCACTCCCAGGAACAACCTATGGTTTGAACTGATGACTCTATTACAACGTAGTATCTACCTAAAGCCAATGCCCCCACTAAGGTTCGAACTTGTGAGTTGTGACCTCTTATTTGGGAGAATCACAGAGGTGCTATTGAGCTACAGGCAACAATACCACCACCCATCAGCTCCATCTTCACACACAATATTAATAGGCCAAAAGGGCATCTATAAACTTGAATTCCTCTGGATTTTCTAGGAAGTTCATCAAACATATAACAAAAGATGAAAACTACATCACCAAATCCCAGATTTTTCATTGACTCCAGTAAATAGATATCAACTGCAATTTCTCATCACCTATGGGTAATGGTTCAAATCCTCCAATGACTGCCCATAGATGAGGGTGCTTACCAAAAAACTGGGACTTTTAAATAATAAACACATAAATATATTACACATTATACTCAACTAGTTGACCAATCCAAAGAAGTTAATAGCTTTGTTTCATCTCGATATGAGTATATATCTATCTACATATATGCTATAGCTAGCTTTGTAAGGAGCTGACCTGTGGAGTGAAAATCAAAGGTGATTGATAAGCCCTGGGGGTATGAAGAGGGGAGTATTGAACCATGGAGCCTGGAGAGTGGACATACTCCATATACTCCTCTTCTTCCACATTCTTGGCCCCGGAGCTCTCAGCTTCGTCCCCATTCCTTTTCCCACTTACATTACCCATTATTACTGCACAAAAAAACACAAACTTTCTTGTTCAAGAACACCCAATTTCATATAAAGCAACCACTTTTATGATCTATGCTGACTGATAATGATAGAAGAAATCAAAACAGTAAAGGAAATATGCAAACCCCCCACTTCTGAAGCTCTGGGTTTTGTTCAAAACATGCCCATTCTTCTTCTTCTTTTCTCTATAGATCGCTTTAGGTGGGCATCTAGAAGAATAGAAGTGATCAAAGGGAAGGTAACATGATTTCTGCAGCTTTTGGATGATTGATGGAACTGTGTGTGTATTATAGTATAGCAGTGAAAGAAAGAAAGAAAGGGAGGAAGGTGGGTTTTATATAGTCCAATGAGTTTGGAGATACTTTGGCGAGGTAATGATGCCTTGTACTACAGACTACAGAGTGATTAAAAGGGAAAGTTGGAAAATAAAAAATTTCCCATTAGTTATTGTTTAGGAAAAGAGAAGAGATTTTGCTGATCAGATCAAGTTCATGCAGTAAGCTTTATACACATGGCGCCCATATGCTGCTTGCCCGGCCCGCTTTCTGTTTTCCTTGTTCGTTAGAAAATGTTTTCTTTAAATTTGAGAAAAATTAACTTTTTTTTTAGAAAAATTGACTTTTTCTTTATTTAATTCATGGAAAATATTTTTCTCAAGACTGTGGAAAACATTTTCTACGCCCCTCCTTGCTATTTTATTTTCCATGGCTAAAAAATCACAAAGATTCAAAGCAAACATCTCAATTATAACAATAAAAGAAATAGAAAAGTAATAAAATTGAAGGATTGATTGTTCACAAAGCCTTCTTATCTTCCTTCCCATCCTTGCTATGCTTAAGACCAAACATGAAGGACCTATTTACTAACTGAAAATTTTCTCTAGTTTTTTAAAAAATTAAAGAATTGGAGAACAAAAAAAAAAAAAAAACAGAAAAAATGTTTACTATCACAGTTTTTCATTTTGAAAACTGAAAATAATTTTTCAATTTTCTAAAAGAATGAACACTCTTAAAAATTATTTTCTAAATAGAAAACAAAATCATCTATCATCTATTTAGTTATATGTCACTAATAACCACATTACTATTATTACATTTATTATCATCTTCTTTTACTTATCACCATCATTATCTCTTTTCTACTTACTTTACTTATTTAAACATAACTTGTTTGCTTACACTTTAAAGTTAAGACATTATTCATATTATCAAAATTAAGAATTGAATTCTATACAATGTTAGATTTTGATTGAACTCAATAGATTATTAGTTCAAATATTTTTAATTATGTTATATTGTAATACAAGTTCAACCCGGATATCAAATATTGAAATCATATATATATAAATCTAATTGACACATTTTTTTGTACTTTTATTATGTTTATTGAGTACATGTTTTCATTATTTGTAGAGAATATAATACATCTTTAACAAGGGTTGGGAACATTCGAAGAGAAAAAATATTTAGTGCGATGGAACATATCGAAAGGTATAGGAAATCTTCCAAGGATCACTTAGTACGGTATTGAGCGTACTAGAAGATAGTTAGAACATAATAAATTGCATAATAATTTGTATAAATCGTATTGTACATCAACTACTAACATTGTTTACCATGAGGTGTTTAATAATGTATACTATTTTATTTGTAAATAATATTCAATAACAAGTTTTTTTTAAAAATATAATTGTAATTCATGTATTTATTTATTGTACTTCAATTACCTGTATCATAAATAACTTCAAATAATTTTAATAATTATTTATTCATTATAACATTACAATCAAAATTTTAATATTTAACAATGCACGGGACAATACTAGTGATGTGTAGCAAAAATAAGATGTGAGCTCGGGTGTGTTATGTCGTCCTCAGGGGATTGGGGGATATGGCACGCAATATGCAATCACAATAAACTAGGCACTAGCATAAGGAAATCAACAAGAAGCTAAGCAAACTACAAGTTTAAGGAAATGATAAGACTAACACATATACACAAAGATAAACACAAAAATAAAGAGATAGGACTCAAGCTAGGGAGCATTATCATCTAGATGCTTTAACAACCTAAGGGATTAGGGAGAACAAGTAACCAAGGAAACAAGCGGGAATGCACGTAGGTATCCTAGTCTACGAACCATTCTCATAATTAATAAACAAGGATTAGAACAAGGAATTGCCCACTTTCGTGGTGAATCAATTCCAAGTCCATCAAGCACACAAAGCATCTAAAGCCCCCAATTTCCCCTATTTTCGTAGGAAGAAATCGGGTCTATGCAAGGGGTGGCTTGGATTCATCACCCAACTCTCGTTGAGGCAAGGAATCCTCCAAAAACAAGCTAATGAATGTGTACATCAAACATTAACAAGATATAAATACAAAACCTTCACAAACACATGAACCCTAGGTTGGAGTTCTCCCCCCTTTTTGCAATAATCACAAATCAAGCATCAAGATAGATAACACAACCCTAACTCAAGTCCATAAACTAACTACTCATGATTAAATATCATAAAGAACACAAATGCACAAGCATTAAACATAAATCTTGCAAAAGAAAGAGATGAAAGAAAGAAAACTTCTCTAAAGAAATTGGATGGTGGAATCTTGAAATGTTGGAATCCAAGCTTCAAATCCAAGATTACAAGCTTCAAAAGTGTTAAGAAACATAAATCTAAGCCTAATCTAACCTAAAAATATGAAGGAGAATAAAAGAGAGTGTCTAGGGTTCTAACAAAAGTCAAAACCAAGTAGAAATGAGAGAAAACGGGGTTTAAAAGAGGCAGAGCAGGTTGGGATGGCCTCAGGGATGGGCGTACGCCAGGGGGTACGATTTTTGGTGCATTTCCAGTGAAAACTGGATCAGGGAGAAGAGATGCGTAATGGCATGCGTATGGGCGTACGGCAGGGCGTACGATGCTTCTGGAAATAGAATTCTGTGCACTTGTTTTGACTTCTAGGCTATTTTTCTCCTCTAAAACCATTTTATTTGCACTTGTGGTCTTCAACAAAGTTGTACCCCTTTAAGTTGGCTTTCCAATGATGCAAGAATCACTTCATTTGGACATTCCTAGACCGAGATATGGTCAGAAAATCGAACAGTGTCCGAAATGAGTGAAAATTACAATGTCTTGATCTTTTGCTCCTCTTTTGTTTTGGTTTGCCCAAATGACTAAGACCATTGAATACACCACTCTTAGACTCCCTTGGAAGTATTTTGTCCATCCTCTTAACTTCTCATTGGCTCCCATGGACTCCTAATGCATCCAAAATGCTCCATTTGACTCCAATGTCCACCAAAATGCCTGAAAATACTCATCTTTGTTTCCAAACAAAACTCCTTGCAAAATAATACAATTTAATCATAATCTCATGAAATTTGGAATGAACTATAGGCAAAATGACTTAGTGAAAGGGAGGAAAATATAGACAAACAAGCACTTATCAACTAGTAATGTAACAATTTTGGGTATCTCACATAATATAAAAACTAGTATTTGTCCCGTGCGATGCACGGAAAATATGTTATAAAAATATACCCTATATGAGGTTTATTCATATATAAAATTTTTGTTATTTAATAATTATTATGTGTGAATTCCTATGATAAAATTATGAACATAAATATATTTACAATTAAAATAATATTTAAGGTGGGTGATTACTACAAATCTTAAACTATATTAAAAATTTAGTACATAGTATTTAATATTACAAATTTTTAAGAACTTAGTAAACTACAATAGTAATTGAATTACAATTTTAGAGTCACCACGGATCAAAATTTTTAAACCTTTGAGATTTCAACTCTAGATGTAGCAACATACAATTGACCTTTAAAGACCAAACAATTATTTATAAATATAAATGTCTATTAATCATCATCACCATTTAAAAAAAATAATAATTGTAACAATAATTGCTCACCAAACCATATGACTATATTATAGTTAAGATTTCAATTATTTTTTTAGAGTTAAAAATGATTTTCAAGTGTTAACATTTACTTTGCTTATCTGGTTTGTCCTTCACTTTTGTGTTCTTTTTCCTTTGATATTTTATAAATAGTTTTCAGGAGTAATTTTTCCTTTGATATCTGGTTTGACATCATTTTTAATGCTATATTATTATTTTTGTTGCAAAATTCACTATTTCCATGTAATTATATGGGTAATGTATAAGATTTTGTTGTATTGCACTAAACATTTTCTTCACTTGTTTCCTGTTATATATCATATGTTTTTCACTCATATAAAAAGTGTTTGCTAAATTTGCTAAATCTTAACTATAATACCAACATGTAATTAATACCAACAATTAACCACTAATATCAACATTTAATTTTCACAGGAACATATGGAACTTGCTAAATCTTAACTATAATACCAATATGTAATTAATATCAACATTTAACCATTAATATCAATATTTAATTTTCACAAGACCATATTGCTTTATTATAATTAAGATATGAAGTGAATATGGTTCGCATGGCTACTACGAAAAAAAAATTAAAAACGTCTTGAGATGGATGAAATCTCGCATTCCTTACAGTAACTTCACATTTCCTTAAACAAAACAAATTAATATGATATTATCATATTCACAATCCTGATGTTAAATAGGAGGACATGTTACTATACATACGGCATTTTTTCATCATCTTTAAATATAATTGATATAATCACAAAACTTTCATTTCTTTTTAAAGGCACTGAAACGATCCCACATCGGCTCCACAAGATATTGTGGAGTGGTACTTAAGTTGGGGCCAAACTTTCACTCATGAGCTAGCTTTTGTGGTGGAGTTAGGGTCTTGGCTTGAGTATCGTATCATTTGGTACTCTTGTTGAGAGGCCGGAGTGTGGTGGGAAAGGGCTACCCGGTGCTTGATAAGGTTCAAAGGGAACTGAGAAGAGTTTAGAGTAGCCGCTGCGGATGTCGGCCCACAAGATATTGTGGAGTAGTACTTAAGTTGGGGCCAAACCTCCACTCATGAGAAGAGTCTAGAGTAGCCTTCGCGGATGTTGGCCCACAAGATATTGTGGAGTGGTACTTAAGTTGTAACCAAAGACGTATTGTCAGAATCCAAAGAGCATCCACACCAATAGTGTGTATTTTAAACTCCTGCAAGATATTGGTTTTTCAAACACCTAGCCGGACGCGTGCAGCGCATGCGCCGACTGGCACGTTATACCCTTTTTTTTTTTAGCGT